GGTACGGTGGTGGGGAGATAAATTCAGTCCATAACAAGCAAACAAACTAAATTTAATGCATACGTTTTTCATTCCTTCATCTATGAATATTTATTGAAGAACTATGGTGTATCAGATGCTCACTAGGCGATAGAGACACAGCAGTGCCCAAGACAGCCATAGTCCCTTTTCAGCCTCATGGAGCTTTTCATCCACTACTAGAAATAGGAATTAAGCACCAAACTATACAACTAATTTCAAAAGTGATAATGGGGAAGAAGAATTAATAGTATAAGACAAATGTAACAAGCATAACTCAGAGCCTATAACTTCATGTGCAAATTGAGATGTTTGGTCATGTGCAGGGCACCACAAAAAATACAAATTTATATCATGGGTGAAAAAAAAAATGAAGAGAAAACCAGTACTTATGAATGAAATACAATTGTGTCTGCCCTCTCCAATTCTAATAATTAGAATTCCATCTATTTCAGTGAGTACCATTCAGCACTAGATGTATTTATTTCTTAATGGTCATTATGGGCCCAAAGATAATTATAGAAGGATATTGCAGCATTGTTTGTAGAAGAAAGAGTAATAACCAAGTGTCCATCAAAGGGAAATTGGTTACATGCATAGAATACCTCTATACAGTATTCAAAAGAAGAGACTAGGGCTGTATATACTAATATGAAACCATATACTAAAAAAAATACTGCGTTTAAAAAAATGAAGTGCAGCATGACTTGTAGAGTGTGCTTCCATGTGTGTGAAATTTCAGGAGAGTCGTATAGATTCAAATAGACCTGCACATACACAAACTATCTCTGGAAGAATATATGAAACAGGATGACAGCCAATGGTTGTTGCCTCAAGAAGGGTAAGGGGGTGTATGAAGGTCAGGAGTAGTAAAGAGACATACTTTTATTACAGCTGAAAATGTATATCTTACTAGAGAAAACATGATCTCAAACAGCATATATGAAGAAAAGTTGTGTTAACCAACAATAGAAGCTCATTTTGTAATCTGCTCCCATCTCCAATGTGTTTGCTTAACAGGATTCTCTAAACATTTAGACATAAGGTAAATGGAATTAGATGAGTAGAAGGCAAGGTTTAAATACCACTGGGGGAAGTTGGAAGTTGGAGAGTTAAAAAGGTGAGGGGTGAGAGATTCCTATGACCAGTAAACAAAGACATATGTTTGGAGGATGAAGCTTTGATTAGAAAACATAATTTTAGGTGGTATATAGCTACTTTGTTGGATAAAAAGTGATTCACATAATGAGACAATTGTTCCCCTTTCAAGTCTTTTTTTATGGCTCAGTTATGATCAAAGAAGAAGTCTCAGTGTGGTGAAAATATGTCTTTAAGACCTCTGGACACTTTCCTGAAGTTAAAATTCAATAACACTGTTTTGATTTCACTGTTTCTATTCACAAATACCCTTCTTAGGGCAAGTGACTCTAGTTTCCCACTGACGTATTTTTTCTAAAATAAAGGTACTTAATTTTAATTTTTTAATGAGCCATTTTTAATGAAAATTGTAAGTAATATAAGAGGTGCAAAGAGATAGCAAAAATTATAAACATGAAACATGAATGACTAAAGTTTCGGAAGCAGTGGCTTGAGAAATTCTTCTTAGCCTGGAGTGTAGGAAAGCTGCACAGTTGTGTGATTGTGATTGTTGTTGATTTCTAATTTCCATCCCACCAAAGAAGCAGTGAATAAAAATGAGGGAGATTTGTTTTTTCTTTCTTTTTTTTTTTTTTAGGAAGCTGCAGTTTCATTCTCATTGCCAGTGGTATTTATCAAGAATATCGTTACTTTCCTAAAGTTGATTCTTTGGGTGACTAAGACTCCTTAGAACCAAGAATGCAAGCACAAACTCCGAAGGCCTAATTAAAAGTATGATTCTTGCCCTGGTGCATTAACACTAACTCTTTTGTTAGCATCCCATGAGAAGAAACACCTCAACTCAAATCACATTTTCCTACCTCCTCCCTTGCCAGTTCCGCCACTTTTTCATTAGCTAATCCCAATTAAAACACTTTGTTACTAACACCATAAATCTCTGCCACTCTCAATAAGCATAAATTATACGGCGAATAACTATATTCTATGTCTATCCAGAAAAATAACAGCTCCCACCCCCCTCCTGTTTTTTGCCATTTTGGGACTCAGAGCTTCTAAGTCAACACTCACGGTTTTTAATCTGGGTTCCCCGCTCCCTCTAATTACTTACCTATAAAGTTAAACTTTTTTAAGGAAGAAAATTACCACCAAGGCCCTTCTCTAAACTTAATCATAAACTGAGCTTTTTCTTCCTGTTTGTGAACAATTTGAGGTAGTAGGAAAGGCTTGGACATTATATTTACAGCTAACTCTGCCATTTATCAATGGAATGACCTGGAACAGCCATCCTGGCTCACACCTGGGCCTGAATCATAAACGGAGGAGAACAACCTCATGGGATTTTGTTTCAAAATTAATTAAGACACATGTAGACTGTGTTTAGCACAGTGCCTGGCACAAAATGTGGGTTCATATTGTATAAGGCGAAGCAGTGATTTTGTTTGTTTCTCTCATGGTCAGCAATTGCTCAACCCAACATTTCATATGCTAAACTAACAAAAAGGAACATACCTCATCCTGTGATTGATTTTCAAGCTCATTTATTCCTCATTTCTCTGTGGTTTAATTTAATTAAATTGAGCAGCCTATCAAATATTGATTTTAATAAAATCTTGATTAAGATTTGAGCAATTATCAAACACACTTATTCACACTATTCTTGCATTTCAATAGAACCAACCTCAAAAACCAATTTGCTTTTAAAATAAAGAAGTGATTTTATATATATTCTTCAGTACATTTTCAGAAATAGAGAAAAAATGGCCTCCCATTGTTGTCATTAGCCAAGATAAGCAGCAATGTCTGACTAGGGTTTTGAAAAACTTAATCCAGTGGTTATCTCATCTTCAATGAATGGTAGAAAGGGAAACTCAATAAAAAATTAACTCCTTTAATAAACATTGATTTGGCTCCTACTGCGTACGAAGTACTATTTTACCCAATGCAAGTAGACGTAAGGAAAAGCTAATTATGCAGTAAGTTTTAATGTATGTGGAAAAATTCAGCCACACTTAAAAGTTTTTGACTTTATTAAATACTAACCAGAGAACTATATTTATTCCAACCCGTAAAACTACTCTGTTGTGTAATTTATGAATATAGTCTCATTATTAGGAGAATCTAATGTAAATGTGATGGTATAAATTATCAATAGTATTATATTAGCAATTAACCATAAGTATAAGACATTTAATAAGTTAAATATTTGGTTTGAAAGTTAAGTGCTAAAAAACTGTTTAGCCGATAGCTGTCACAGCAGCACCACCTAGAGGCCTTTGAGGAGTAACACAGATCGTTTCCCCAAACTTGCCTTCTTACTTAGAGACAAAGAGCAGTAGCTACTCCATTTCAGCATCTTGTGTCACTGAAAGCATTTTAATTCTATTGAGCACATTATTAAATCTTGAAATATTTATAAAACAGCTAAATGAAATTGAATAACCTTAAAATCACAATGCATTTTGGCAAAAGATGCCAATATTCCCCCCGGCATAGGAGATGAAACTGGGCAAATATGGGAGCAGCCCAGGTCCTGGGACATTACGTGAGACACAGGCATCCTCTCTCTAACACGCACCTCCTTATTCTGTCTTGATCGCAAACACATGAGCGCCCAGGCCGACTGCACATTTGGTAGCACTTCAAAGTTATGTTCCTGAGCTACTGCCAAAGTGTAGTTAGAAATGTTGAGAAGAAATTAACTTTCCATTGTTAATATCGTTTATATCAACAGATTCACTTACGAATTCCCTTCCACTAGCCAAAGCTGCACTAACGTTCTGGAGGTGGAATTCAAAGAAAAATGACAAAATAATTTTCTTTTTTATTGTTTCTCATCCTCTCTTCTGTCATCTTTTATAATTTTTCTCAGAAACTACCTTGGATTAAAATTTAGATGATAAAACAAGTCAGTTCATCATAGAAATGAGAACACTCCTTACATTATTTGGTTTCAGAATTTCAGCAGACTGTGCTGACCATCAGCTGACTGCAGCTTCACAAGCCAATGGCAAAAACAAAAACAAAACAAAACAAAACCACATTTACTGCATATACAGGTGGGGGCTAGTGAGGCACAAAAGTACCGCTCATCTTCAATTCCACTTGAGGGCATTGTCTGCCTCAGTGAGGCGGAGGTGCTGAGTCATATTTTGCCAGTCAGTGCATCAAATGCAGAAGTCTGCAATAACCTGTACTTTCTTGCCTCATATATGAAGCCAGGGTTCCTACCTGAGCACACTAGTAAAGGAAGGCAGTAGGTCCATTCATGCACATGCTCTGAATTTCAGGTAATGCACTTGAGTACAGTTAACCAAAATAATACTAAGTTTTGCCTAGAGAAGATTTTTCCCCATCCTGTATGCTAAAGTCATAACTGAAATCACCTCAAACTGCAGTACCTTTAGTTCTTTGAAACATCAAACCTTTCTTGCACCTGTTTTTCCCTCTGTCTCACCCCTACACCTACTCACCTAACTAGTATCCAAGTCTCCTTAGGATCTCAGCTTAGATAGCACTAGTCCAGGATTCCTTCTAGGATCCCCTCACAATGGGTTAGGATGACTTTCTATGTGCACCAATTGCAACCTATACTTCTCCTATTGGGAAACTTGGTGTGCAGCTTTGCAACTGTTTGTTTTTTAACCGTATCCCCCACAAGGCTGTAGGCACTGTGCAAGCAGCGGATATTTTTATCTTATTTATAGTTGTATTCCCTTCATCCCCATGATTCTGCCTCAAATATTCCATCAATATTGCTGAAGGAATGACTGTCCCACATAAGTCTGCTTTATCTTGGGAGGGACTCTAATGTTCTATTCATAGTCTCCATTTATTTGCCTTCCAAGCATGGGCCTCAGCATCCACTATTTTGCTCCCACTCTTACCTTGTTCTTTTAATATCCAAAGTGGTCAGAAGAAGTGATCAAGATTCAATAAGGTAAGCTGTCTCCTGATGGTCAAGGCATTCTCTTCACCATCTCCAGGCTCCTTATAGGATCCACAGAGAAATCATCCCAATTTCTGAGTCAGCTGCAAGAGAAGAAGTCAACCAAATAGATTTACAAAAGAGATCATGCTGGAATGTCTGGTGTGACATTACAAGGCAGCATCCTCCCTGGGAAGGAGATGCAAGTCCTTCGTTTTGCCAATCAGGTAACAATGTCCTCTTCTCTCTTGTATGCAGTTGGCAGAACAAAACAGAAGGAGGACAAGGGAGCTCAGCCTTGTTTCTTGCTCGACCACATATTGTGTCCACAACAGGCTATATTTTGGAACAAGAACAGCATAGAGCCATCTAGATAACTTGGAGGATATAAAATAAGCACTCCAAGACAGAAGCAGAACTATCCTGGGGAAAGTTCCAGAATGGAGTGAAATAACATTCACCACTCTGGATCCTTATTCCATCATTTGGTTTCTTTGCCTCAGACACAACATCTGCAAAACAGAGCCAAGCTCTACAAATTCAAAGGGATATTATAAGGGCAACTGAGACAGAGCGCATGGAAGTGCTTGGAAAACTATGCTCAGGAAACAAAAAATAAGAGATCAATGTTTATAGAAGAGCAGCAGACTGCCATACTATCCACTATCCAATATCCTTAGGTTATAAAGGTTGGAGGACGTTTCACTGCCTTCACCCTGAGCAATGTTTACTTCAATTAGGAAATAAAACTTAGAGCAAAACTGGCCCAGCATATATTAAATGATAATCCGTGGATCCTGAGCATAAGAACCAGGTAGTGATCATTTTGTGTCAAATACAGGAGAAACGGCATATACAATTATTCTGTATTGTTTTCATACTTACAATTCTGTAGATGAAAATATACATGCAGAACATGGTAAGTAAACATATCTCAGGTGACTCTCTTAGAAAAGACTCATAGCCTTTATTCATTCATAAAAGCATGTTTTTAATTACTGGAACCTGGCAACACACAGCATGAGAATTTTCCCAGAAAAAAAGACATCAAGTCACATTTTTTCAAGAGACACAGAAAACCCCAAACAGGATAAATGCAAAGAAAACCACACATAATAAAACTGCAATGTATGCATGAAAAGATAGAGTTGCAAAATATTTAAAGCAAAAAGTGACAGAACTGAAAGAAGAAATGGACACATCCTCGATGATAGATGAAGAATTCAACATCCCTCTCTCAACAATTGATAGAAAAAACAGACAGAAATATCACCAAAGATAGAGAACTTAACAATATCATCAACCAACAGAATTTAATTGACATTTATAGAACACTCCCACCATTTTAACTGGCATTTCCCCAATGGCTAACGATGCTGAGTATCTTTTGGAGTGTTTATTTACCATCTGTATATCTTCTCCAATGGAAAGTTTCTATCTGTCTTTTGCCCATTTTGAACTGGATCACGTTGTTGTTGTAGTTGCTGTTTTTGTTGATTTTACTGTTGAGTTTTGAGAGTTCCTTAATTATCACAGATAGTAGTCCTTAGTCAGACACATGATGTGCAAATATTTGCTCCCAGTCTGCAACTTGTCTATTATTCTCTTAATATGGTCTCTTGAAGAGCAAAAGTTTTAACTTTGATAAAGTCTAATGTATTAATTTTTCCTTTTATGAATTGTATTTTTGGTGCCAAGTCTAAGAACTCTCAAACTCTCACCATCATACTTTTCTTTTTCTTTCTTTTTCAGTGCATGTACTGTCTTTATCTGATTTGAAGACCAGGGTAATGCTAACTTTATAAGATCATGAAATGAGTTGGGAAGTTATCCCCCTTCTTCTATTCTCTGAAAGAGATTGTGTAGAAACAATGGTAATTCTTCTTCAAATATTTGGTGGAATTATTTAGTGAGTCCCTAGTGGAGATTTCTTTTGGGGAATGTTTTAGTCTGTTAGTCGCCAATACCAGCTATGACCATGTGACCAGTTGTGGAAATGAGGACCGTAATTGTCATGAGTATTTTCTCCTTATTTTGTTAAGAACATGTTTGTGCATGTATATACTTGTACTAAGAAAGATATTTTCTTAGTACTCATTTTATTTCCTTTCTTTGTCCTTTATCATGTGACATAAGATTTATTGACTTCGCATCAGCATTTAAGTATTGTTAACTTTATGTAATAGCATTTGGGTTGGGGATTGATGCATTTCCCATCAAAGGATAGCTGCATTGTGTTAGGCATAATTATGACCTTATTACTGTCTTTATTTGAAGATTATGTATGATTTTAGGAGACGTGTATGGGTTGAAGTTGACAAGGGGTGGACTTGAGATGGTTAATATTGAGTGTCAACTTGATTGGATTGAAGGGTGCAAAGTATTGCTCCTGGGTATGTCTGTGAGGGTGTTGTCAAAGGATATTAACATTTGAGTCAGTGGACTGGGAGAGGCAGACCCACCCTCAATCTGGGTGGGCACCATCTAATCAGCTGCCAACATGGCCAGAATAAAAGCAAGCAGAAGAGCGTGGAAAGACAAGACTGGTTTAGTCTTCTGGCCTACATCTTTCTCCCACACTGGATGCTTCTTGCCCTCGAACTTCAGACTCCAATTCTTCAGCTTTGGGACTTGGATTGGCTTCCCTGCTCCTCAGCTTGCAAACAGCCTATTGTGGGATCTCAACTTGGGATGATGTGACCCCATACTTCTTAACTCCCCTTTATATATATGTCTAACCTATTAGTTTTGTCCCTCTAGAGAACCCAAATACAGGGAACTTTTAAATATGAAATCAATTTATTTTGCTCTTCTTTTCCAAGTTTCTTGAAGTGAGAGTTCAGATTAAGACTTTCCATTTTTTCTAATGAGAGCATGTAGTGCTATAATTTTCCCTCTCATAACTGCTTTGAGTTCCACAGATTTAATACATCTTATGTCATTGTCTTTCAGTTCATTGTATTTACAAAATTTCTCTTGAGACCTCCTCTTTAAACTAGAATTATTTGGAAATGTGTTGGTTAGTTTTCAGGTGTTTGCAGATATTCCCATTATCTTTCTGTTATTGATTTCTATCTTGAATCCACTGTAGTCTGAGAAAACACTCTGTATAATTTCTATTCTTTTAAATTTGTTAAGGTTTGTCTTACAGTCCAGGATGCAGCCTATCTTGTATGTGTTCTCTGGGTACTTGAAAAGGATATGTCAGAGGATGGAGGGAATTATGGCAATATGAGAGTGGAAATCTATATTCTCCTCTTGGGCATTGATGATTTTTTGGTATGGTGTTTGGATGGAGTAGAGTGGTTGTTTTCTGAGAGTTTCCATCTTTTTAGGCTGGACGTATGTTGATCCTTTGGCTAGAAAAGGTAGGCTTTTGTTGGGACTTTTTAAAAATTTCTGTGCCTGTTGACATTTCTGGGCTTCCAGTTCCTTGTGCAAGATATCCTAGTCTAGGATATATGACAAAAAGAAAACTCAAGTAACTTATAAGCATGTCATTCCTTCGATCCCAATGTCCCTGGCCAATCTGTCTGGCTATCTCAATCTCTTCTGTTTGTATATATAATCTCCAGAGTTATTAGGTATAATCAGGGGAAAGAATAGGGAGAAGCATGTCTACCTCATCTTTACAGAAACAGAAATCACTGATCATTTTTGGTTTCTTAATTCATTCTGACAACCTCTTTTAATGAGTCTGCTTATGTGATGTATATATAATGTAATTATTGATGTATCAGGATTTGATTGTTCCATCTATTTACCATTCCACTGTTTGCCCTTTTCCCTTTTGGGTTGCCCAAACAATTTTTCATATGATAATTTATCTACTTTGCCTTTTTACTATATCAGTTTGTAATTTTTCTTATTGGTTGCCCAAGAGATTATATAGTTCATTTTCCACAATATACTTAGAACCAATACCTGACCACTTCAATTGAAATGTAGGAAACTTACTCTCAGATTGGTCTCTTTAACCTCCCTTTACTTTGTAGTTACCTAACATATTACATTTACATACTTTCAAAACCCTAAACAATGCTATAATCTTTGGCAACCATCAACCACATTTTAAAGAATTCAAGCAAGTAACAGTCTATTACAGGATTCAGCAAACTTTTTCTGCTGAGGGCCAGATAGTAAATATTTTAGGCTTTGCAGACCATACAGTGTCAGCCACAACTATTCAACTCTGTGCTTATAGAGTGAAAACAGCCAAAGACAACACATAGCCAAATGAGCACAACTGTGTTTCAATGAAATTCTATTAATCAAAATAGATGGTGAGCTGAATTTGGCACGTGGGCTATAGTTTGCTGACCCCTAGTCTATTATAGTTACCCAGATATTTTTAGTTTCTTCTTCCTTCATTTCTGATGTTGCATGTTTCCCTCTCCCATCATTTCACTTCTGTCTTAAGAACTTCATTTAACCTTTTTTTAGTGCATGTTTGCTGGCACTAAATTTTCCTTCATCTAAGAATGTCTTGGCTGGGCATGGTGGCTCACATATGTAATCCCAGCACTTTGGGAGGCTGAGGCGGGTGGATCATGAGCTCAGGAGATTGAGACCATCCTGGCTAACACGGTGACACCCCGTCTCTACTAAAAATACCAAAAAAAATTAGCCGGGCATGGTGGCAGGCGCCTGTAGTCCCAGCTACTTGGGAGGCTGAGGCAGGAAAATGGTGTGAACACGGGAGGCGGAGCCTGCAGTGAGCCAAGATCGCGCCACTGCACTCCAGCCTGGGCGACAGCGAGACTCCGACAAAAAGAAAAAAAAAAAAAAAAGTCTTTATTTCTCCCTTTATTACTGAAGGGTATTTTTGCTGTATATAGAAAATTGGGTCGACAATATTTTCTCTCAGCTCTTTAAACAGATAGTTCCCCTCCAAGGTTTATGACCAGGAATCATTCCTGTATAAATCAAAATCTTTTCTCTATAAATATACTTCATTTTTCTCTGACTGCTTTCAAACTTTTTCTTTGTTTTCAGATTTTAGCATTTTGATTATGATGTATTTGGATATAAATTCATTTTTGTTTGGTTCCCCTCTTTGGGATTCATTGAGCTCCTTGAATCTATAGATTTGTATCTTTTAAGA